CCACTTAATCAGCAAGCCAGCTGGTGTGTTATTAGGAGTACCCTGGTGTACTGAGCACCTATACCTGACTGGAACCAGACTACTGAGACAGCCAGAAGATGATTCAATAAGCTATGAGAATTGGCTAAATTAGCTTTTTCAGCTTTGAAAAGAGATGTCTCAGAGGGGATAGGATAGTGATATATGATGTTAAATGGGATTGCAAAAATAATCAGGACTTTTTTTTTTAGATATGTCAAGGCAGGAGTGCAGTAATTCATTTAATATACAGATTGATAGCTTGATATTGTATTGGGAAGACAGGAAAGTTGATATTCTGGAAAGATGAGATGGAAAGGGATGAATGGTCATATCTATCTCATCCTCTTTTATAATCTTGCGAATTAAAGAAGTCAGGTTCTAGTGATGGACCCTTGGCAGAATAATAATAATAAACACCTGTACAAAATGGTATCAAGGATGTTTTCTGAACTCATTAGGGGCAAGAAATGTTTTAATGTCAATATTGAGGCCTAGTTTGGATGATGTTAACCTAAGTCTATGCTTAGTATTAGCAGGTACTGGGATGATGCCAATCATCTATGTAGCCAGGAAAGGCAAAGAGATTCAGGCAGCCAGTTCCAAATTTTCGGTGTCTAACAGCTGGAAACAAGGCCGTCAATGGTGGAGCAGAGGGATCGAGGTACAAGGCGGAAGCTGGAGCCAGCTGAGCGAAGGGGCAGGTAGTGGAGTGGGGTGTAAGCAGGTTGGAGAGGTAGGGATGGTCTCGGGTATGAGCAGATTTGTAAGTAAGAGTGAGGATCTTGAAATTGATCCATTTTGCAATAGGGAGCCAGTCTAGTCTGGTAAGGACTGGCATGATGGGGGTGCAGAGTTTGATATGGGTGAAAATATGGGCAATGGACTTTTAGATCCAGTTGCATTTTGTGGGTGGCAGAACTGTGGAGACTGGCAAAGAAGGTATTGGAAAAATTGGTGTGGAACTCACTGCCTCAATCTCTTTGCCTTTCCTGGCCACATAGATGATTGGCAGTAACATAATAATCCTTGCATTTGATATAGCGCTTTTCACGTCGGGAGGACGTCCCAAAGCGCTTCACAGAACACACTGTAAAGTGAATTGACTGTATACTTGTGGGCGAACGCGGCAGCCAATTGCGCACAGCAATGTCCCACAAACAGTCGTAGATTGAAAATGACCAATTTATTATTGTTTTTGGTTTTGGAGGGATTATTATTAGGCGTGTGGAGTAAGGAAACTTGCCCAAGGTTTCGCCCTGCCTGGAATTGAACTCGGGTCTCTCGCTTGCAAAGCGAGTGCTCTAACCACTGAGCTACAGGACTCCAAGGTGACGTATGCATGAATGAGGGTTTCAGCTACATCAAGTGTGAAATATAGTCTGAAATGGGCGATGTGGTGGAGGTGGAAGAAAGCGATCCTGGTCAGGGAGTGGAAGGAAAGCTGATGCCTAGGTTGGGCACAGGTTCAGTGTGTCTGAGTGATAAGGTAGAGAGGTTAAGGAAGTCAGAGCTGCAAGTAATAAAAAGACATTGATGGGAGCCAAAGAGAATGACTTCTGTCTTGTTGACATTTAGCTGTTGGAAGATTGTGCTTATCCAGATCTTGATGTCTGACAAGCAAGAGAACAGAACATTGGTGGACCTGGGGTTATAGAAGTAGATTTGGGGGCATCTGCATACATGTCTGCATGATGATACCACAGAGAGGGAGCATGTAAATGAGGAAAAACAACGGACAGAGGTATGGTTGGAGGCATGGGATGGGGCACATCAAAAGTAATCTGGCAGGGGTGGGATGAAAAAACATTTCCATAGACTCAATGAAGTTGGACTTGAACCAGGTGAATGAGGTCCCACTGAGGTGGATGAAGGAGGAGTGGTTGCCAAGGAGGATGATGTGGTCCACTGTTAACAAAAGTAGTGGAGAGGTCCAGGAGGACAAGGAGGCAGAATAAGCCCTGGTGATAGAGGACGTTATTTGTGACTTTGATGAGCGCTGGTGTCTCTGTGCTGCGGGCAACTGGAAAAAACTGGAGGGGCTTGAGTAGGGAATGGACGGAGAGGTGTGAGCGAAGTCGGTTGACAACAATGCGTTATATGACTTTGAAAATGAAGAGCAACTCGGAGACCGGCTAGTGGGTTGCAAGATTTAAAGGATAGAAGGTAGATTCAAAGTCAGTTTCTGAACTCTTTTGCCAACATGATGAACTATTAAACTGGTGACTTCTGCCTATGATTGGGAAGACCCTTTTTAAGTGTCAATTAGATTCCTGGAGACATTAGAGATCCAGAAGAAGTGATAGCAAATGATTTCTGCCTATCCACCCCTTTTAATAAAACTAAATTATAAATAATAATCATTGCATTTCATATAGCACCTTATCGCATTGTCAAGACGCCTCAAAGCGCTTTACTGCATATACAATAAAGTGGAATGACTGTGTATTTTATGGGCAAAATGTCTACAAACCCAATTTGTTTTGATGTCACAAATTCAATGGAACATGTGTTTAGACGTCAACATTCTGCTGAATGACTACTGCCCAAATCCGCAGTCATTTTAATTTAAAACCCCGTGTCAATCAAAATATGCAAGTGCATAGGAAAGGTTTCTGCGTCGATTCAAGCAGGGATTTGCAATGGGTTCCAACGTTCAATCTCACAAGGTCAACCAATTTTTTTTTTGGGAGAGGGGGGGGGGGGAAGAAAGTTACTGTAAGCTTGAACGAATTCAATTAAAAGCGTTTTAATTAGCTCCAAAGAAATAAATTAGCGGAGGCTATTTGAGGATGAAATGCCCTGGGATAATGAGAGAAGAAGAACTGATAGCTGAACGTGTAAATTCCTGACAGGAGATGTTTATTGATAGTCAATACTGGTACAGAATGCCGCTTGGGTCATGTACAGTGGTAACAACATCGATAGCAATGAATCACAGTGCAGGTTAGCTCCAAGGTGTCGGAGTGACTGATTTCCATTGCTGATGGTAGGGAGAGTCCCTTAGCGATTTACTTTTACAATGTCACACACACTAACACACACACACACACACACACACCACACCTTCCAATATTGCATCGACACCGGCAGCAAACAATTCCTTTCTCACACTTACACAGAGCAGAGAGCGCCGGAGGCTTGTGGGTGAGTGAGCATCTCCTTACACACTCCTGCCACACCTCACAGGGAAAGAAAATCAAAGTCTCTTGCACTGCAGGTGCCAGTCTGACAACCTTATTTCAAGGGACAAATGGCACAGCGGCAAATAGATATGTTCTTGACCCACTATACTGCTGGTAGGTTTGACGTCAAGTAACTGTATCTATTGGCAACCCGAGATGTGACTATTAATAACAGGCAGAGACCCCGCCAGGGGCAGGAGCTCAGCTCAGCTCCTCCTGCAACCTGTGTGCGCTGTGTGATCATTGTATTGCCCAGAAAGACAGGACACCGCTAATGCAATCTTTCTTCCTTATTTTTTCTCTCTCTCTCTCTCTCTCTCTCTCGCGTGGGGCTGACACCATTTACCTACTTCTTACTCCTGTACATAAGCTCCAATGAACTTGGTGTCTCCTGACTCCCCTGTTAACACTGCTGTTCAAGCTACTTGTGCATTTGAAGCCAAGTGGGATTGCAATCCGATGTTGACAATCGCTATGCAGATTAATATAGGGTATTGCATGTCGAAGTTGGTCTTTTTCATCTGGTCTTTTGTTGATCTTTGCTCACAGTTCAAGTTAACAGTTCAGTTTACACAGCGGTTTTACAGATCGCTTAAATTTCTTTTTTTTTGGCCGCGAAAAAAAGGTGCGTAAGCAAAAAAGAAGCGATGCTCACGAAGCAGATACTATATATAGTTTACATATATATAAATAAACCTTTGCAGTTAACACTTGAACTCGGTTTGTAATCTGCCAGGAACAAGTCCTGTCAAAGGCACGTCCCGCGTCAGAGCCAATGGGCACATTTCCCTGAGACTGTAAAAGGACCTTCAAACCTCCCTCCCTATTCGTGTGCTGACCGCGATTTGGTGCAAAAGCCTCTTCGCTCACTCCATAAACTTTCCGGTCACTTTAAGACGATCCGAGTTGTTTAAGAATGTATTACAATAGTTCTTTCAGTGGATGACTATGGAGATCCTTCGACCGGAGTCAACTGATGATGTGCTGCACCAGCGCGGGATGGGATTTTTAATGATAACTCCATTGATCGCAATGCAAAGGTTTTATTGTTTATAAGATCCTAAGATCAGGGTAAGATTATAAGTGTATTCGACTTCCTTGACCGTGTAACGAATGAAGTCTCTGTATTACTTGGATCCGTTTTGCTATCGGACTGGTTTCTGATGCCCATCCTTTCCCCCAGGAGACCTTCTTCTCTTCCTTATAAATCCACTGCTGTCCAAACGGCTGTTTAATATATAGGGAGGAATTGACAACATTGCCATCTCCCCCCCCCCCCCCCCCCCCAGCACCACCCATGTGGCAAGCATTTCACGCCATGAGACTGGCATGAAATTCATACAGAACACCATTTGTTTGCCAACTCAAGGACATCGCCTTCTGCCTTCTCCTCAGTATTTCTGAAGATGCTCCAAGTTTTGATCAGGTGTTAGAGCGGCAAAGCAACTTTCCAGCTCAGATATCTCTCCCCAGTGTGTTCTCTCTCTCTCCCCATTTCTCTGTGTCTCTCCCCCCAGTTCTCTCTCTGCCCCCATTTCTCTCTCTCTCCTTCCCCCCATTTCTTTCTCCCCCAGTTTTATCTCTCTACCACCAGTTCTCTCCCTCTCCCCCATTTCCCTGTGTCTCTCTCCCCCCAGTTCTCTCTCTGCCCCATTTCTCTCTCTCTTTCTCTCCTTCCCCCCATTTATTTCTCCCCAGTTCTATCTCTCTACCCACCAGTTCTCCCCCTCTCTCCTTCTCCCCATTTCTCTATCCCCCCCATTTCTCTCGGTGTCTCTACCCCCCATCTCTCTCTCTCTCTCCCTCTCTCATCACCATGGCCACCATTGACTTTTCCGACGTGGAAGCTTTCCTGGACGGGCACCCGGACCTGTTCGAGGATTACCTGCTGAGGAAGGGAAAGCGGGACTCGGTGACCAAGTGGCTGAAGGAGCACAGGTCGGCGAAGGTCCCCGGCGAGGAGGGCGGCGGGGCCAGGGAGCAGTGCCGGGGCAATGGCCGAGCAGAGGGGCTGCACCGCCGCTCCTCCCAGAAGGAGCTGAGGAGGAGCTTCGCCAGGTCCCGGGCCATGACGGCGCACAGGACCTACGACGAGGAACATGTCACCCCGAGGGCGCGGGACCCCAGCACCGGCTGCAGCAGCAGGCGGGCTCTCCTGAGGAAAGCCAGCTCCCTGCCCCCCACCACGGCCCACATCCTCAGCGCCCTCCTGGAGTCCAGGGTCAACGCTCCCCAGTACCCCTCCGCAGCCACGGACTACAAGTACCGCCTGAAGGACGGCGACGAGAGGGCGTTCTTCCTGGAGCTCGTCAAGGACATCTCCAACGACCTGGACCTCACCAGCCTGAGCTACAAGATCCTCATCAACGTCTGCATCATGGTGGGCGCGGACCGCTGCTCGCTCTTCCTGGTGGAGGGGCCTCCTCACAAGAAGACACTGGTGTCCAAGTTTTTCGACGTCCACTCGGGCACCACTGTGCTGCCCTCCTCCAGGGCGGAGAGCTCCAACGAGGTGCAGGTGCCTTGGGGGAAGGGGATCGTCGGCTACGTGGCTGAGCACGGAGAGACGGTCAACATCGCTGGCGCTTACCAGGTGAGGTCCAACTTCCACTTGCTTTGGCTTTTTGACCCTTAACAGGGACTCGTACATTGGAAACCGTTTTCCCCCCCTCCATCCCCAATCCATTCCCTCACCCGCTCCTCTTACCCCAGGACGTCCATGGCGCCTGTAAAGTGCAGACCCACACACCCACACACATCTTTTAATTTGTTTTTGGACAGCCAGGTATCTGACACATGCCCTAAACCCATCATCATTGCTTAAGAGTATCCAAACCAAGCTGAGAATTGCATGCATCCCACCCACACTTGGACGTCCCAGAGATATCTGGTTGGGATGGAATGAGGACTTTCTCCTCCCCCCAGTTTTAACTTGTGGAGAGAACGCCTATGAGACATTAGCCGGTCAGAATAGTGATGTTTTTAAACAGACAAGAACCCGGAGGTACCAAGAGTACACTCCTCACAAATAGCACTTCTTTTTGTCAACCATTCTTGTGACACACATGCAAACCTCTTGCGATTGCTTGAGTTTCAGGTATTAGTATATATCACAGAAGCAGAATTTCTATTTGCTAGTTCTAGAGCACCCAATGTCTCTCTGAATAATGGTCATGACAATGATTGACACCATGGCTGTGTGCCTGTGTCTAGAGAACATACAACAATAATGTCAAATATACAGTCAATTCACTTTACAGTGTGTTCTGTGAAGCGCTTTGGGACCTCCTCCCGACGTGAAAAACGCTATATCAAATGCAAGGATTATTATTAACAAGGTACGTGTATTAGGAAATCTCAAGTGTACATTACAGTAGAGTTCAAGTCACACCATTTACCACATTAAAATAAAGCACTGTTAAGTGTTTCTTATCTAGGTAGGATTGTTCTACTGTTATAGCATTGGCTTGCAGGATATGAGGAACTGAGTAACAATCCTACTTTCAGCAAGGCATCTACACCTGTTATCGATAAACCAAGAAAACTTATCATTGACAGAATCATGATGTATTGCATTACTGCTGTCAGATATCAGATTGACAAGTTCTCCACAGTGGTTTGATTTTGTTATGCTCGCACTTTGCCAAACATATCACTGAGCAGTCAGATAGACCCACTTACATCTCTTATCCCTCTCCCAGCAACTTATTTTATAAGTTGGTATTCAAACAAATATCACAACACACTCCTACAGGAAAGTACAAGAAAAAAGATCTAATCCAAATGCATGCCATAGAAAGCAAAACAACATCACTCCATCAACATCACTGCCATCTCCACTCCCTCCACTGTCACGACCAAATTATTCTTATCCTGAGATGTGCAACACCACGGTTGGAAGAATGAAGAAACTGCAAGAAACAAAGTGGATCACTTCGCAGGTTGAGGAGATACATGGTAAATAGAGTTTAGTGCTGAAGAATTCACCTTTTTTGGAGTTATCACAAGGTACAAAACTGATCAAAGGTTTGTGGTTTCCCATTCACTTTCTGAATGCTGTAATGAATAATCAGAAGCAACTTTGTATGTATGTCACACCATGAAAGTGCAAATCTTATTTCTGAGGGCGATTATAAAAAAGATACTTTGCTATAGACCTGCTATCTTTAATTAAATCCAATGAAATTACAATTCACTGAACAGACAAAAAGAATTGTTACATTTCTAATAAAGTCTTTGATAAATGTGTGTATTCTTTTAGGAAAATAATCAGATTTTGTGGAATTTGAAGACAATTTGAGGAATTTTCTCCCATTAGCTCTTATGATCATTAATAATAGTTTAGTAAATTTAAAGCACCAGATTTAAAAAAGGCAATTGTGCAGTGCTAAATTTCTTTGTAATGAGTAGGCAATGAGATCATTATAGAAAATGAAATTAGGAAGGATGTAGGATATCAGATGCCTTGTCCTTGTTGACTGTTGCCAACATATTACAAATATGCCAAATGATCCATTGTAATCCTTCCATGTTCTCTGCTCTTCCAACTCTGATGTACTGTTTGTTCCCTTGCACCATCATTAGTGATCTGACGTGAAAAGCACTATATAAATATAATTTGCTGTTGGTGGTGGTCAAGCCTATAGCCACTATAATAAAATAATCCTGGTATTTGATATAGCGCTTTTCACGCCTTTTAGATGTCTCAAAACGCTTCACAGAATATACTGTAAAGTGAATTGACTGTATATTTGTGTGCGAAATGCGGCAGCCAATTGCGCACAATACTAGCTCCCCACTGCCTGGAACTCAGTCCTAAAATATCTTCACCTTGCTTCTTCTGTCCTGCTTTCAAAGCTCTCTTATATAAAAACTATATCTTTGATTATGCCTTTGGTCAATAACTTGAAATTCTCATTCTTCTCCTTGCTCTGTGCTCCCTGTTGAGTCTGTGAATGGCTTCAAGCTATTCATCCTACATGAAGGGTGTTACATAAAAACAAGTTGTTGTTAATACCCAAGTCAGTTCAGCTCCATTGAGAAGCCCTGGATTTGGCAGAGGCCCATTGAAGGAAAAGTATTAAAGTTTTATGAAAATAAATTCCCAGAATTGCTTTTGTGTGGAAATTTGGATTTGGATTATAATTGTTTGGGGCGGTCAGGTCTCTTGCTACAGCGACCCCCAATTATCCTTCCTCCCCAACATTCGTTCCCTCATCAGCACCGCTTTCTTCCACCTCAGACGCATTGCCCGTCTCTGCCAATACCTCACCCCAAAAGCTGCCAAAACCCTGGTCCATGCCTTTGTTACCTCTCGGCTGGACTATTCAAATGCTCTCCTCGCCGGTGTCCCCTCCACTACCATCCATAAAATCCAGGTCAACCAGAACTCTGTCGCCCACATTCTTACCCGTACCAAACTCTGCTCCCCGATCACCCCAGTCCTAACCAAAATGCACTGGCTGCCTGTCCCAGAGAGAATCGACTTCAAGATCCTCACTCTTATCTTCAAATCCCTCCACTCCGCTGCTCCCCCCTACCTCTCTGACTTCCTCTCTCCTCACAACAATGCCCGTTGCCTTCGCTCCACCAAGTCTGGCCTCCTCCTTGTCCCCTGAATCCTCTGCTCCACCAAGGGCGGCCATGCCTTCAGCCACTTCAGGAGGCTCTGGAACTCCCTTCCTCACTCCCTTCGCCTCGCCCACTATCTTCCTATTTTCAGGTCTTGGCTGAAGACCTTTCTTTTCGACCGCACCTTTGATCACCTTCTTCTCCCCCCTCCCCCTGGCTCGGCCCCGGGATCCGTTACTGTGAAGCGCTCTGTGACGCCGTCCAAGGTGGAGGGCGCTATATAAATCCAAGTTGTTGATGTTATTATTGTAGCTAATTGCTTGTTTCCTGACGAGTCTTTGGTTGATATTGTGCTGTCCATTCTGTGAGATGTGTTTTAATAGAGACTGCTGTCTGATTATTTTTAGCGTTAGTTGCACTTAACTTTACTCTCTGAAATTGGGATGGATTATTTGTGAACGTCTCAGTACAAGGTTATCACAGGGGAAGTAGTTTTATGAGAGTCCCTCTGGCTGGACAAATGCCATGGGGATATGCAGCAAATGAATCAATGGATGGCCAAGACAAGAACTGACAAACAGCATTGTGTCTAGTACTGATTCACCATTCCTCACAGACCCAGACTAAATACTGTAAAAGGGTCATTCACACTCTCCTCTAAAGGCGCCTATTCAAGGGTTCTCAAACTAAAGATAGCAACAATGTTTATAGGTTCAAAACACCAAGTACAAAGAAACACAAGAAAGACCACGACTGAGCACATTACAAGGTAGAAGCATAGAAATGTACAGCGCAGAAAAAGGTTATTTGGACCATCGTCTGACTCTTTAGGGCAAACCTTTCAGTACCAGTTACCTGTCCTTTCCCCCATACCCAGGCCTAGACTAATGCTGGCTGCAGCCCAGGGCCCTGGATTTTGAGGGGCCCTCAAAAAACTGAGTGGCAACGCTGGGGGCAGCACAGTATCTTTAATGTTTTGACCTCCGGAGAGAGCGCATGCACAAGAAGTCTCATTTTTGGCTTTTCGTGAATGCACAAAAATGATAGGCTGGGAAAATAGAAAATCACAGTATTGGGATAGTGGCGCGGGCGGGAAATGGGCTTCGCCGCTGGTGAATGACAGCGGCCTCTTGCAGGGACTCCACTGGGCCCCTATGAGATTGTCTGTCTGCGTGTATCTCTCTCCTCTTTGACCGTGCCTTCAGCTCCCCTCTCGACTCTCTTCCCCCTCCTCGCTCCCTCCCTTCCTTCCCCTCACCCCGACCATTTCCCCCCTCCTCGCTCCCTCCCTTCCCTCACCCTGACCATTTCCCCCCTGCTCGGGTCATGACCCAACTGTGCAGCGCCTTGGGACGTCCTCCTGACGTGAAAGGCGCTTTATAAATGGAATCTTGTTGTTGTATCTTGTTGTTGTTGTATGTTTGTGTGTATGTGTCTCTGTATCTGTATCTATGTGTGTGTCTCCCTCTCTCTCTAGTCTGTATCTCTCTCTGTATCTGCCGGTGTGTGGTGTGTGTGCGTCTTTCTCCAGGTGTTTGTGCATGTGTCTCTCTCTGTCTGTGTGTGTATCTTTCTCCCTGGCTGTGTGTGTGTCTCTCACTCTATATCTGTATGTGTGTGTGTCTCTCTCTATCTGAAATAAATAGTTTTTTTGTTGTAACAATCTACGTATGATGAGTTATTTCTTCATGTTTAGTTTTTATCAAAAAATTGTAGATTAGCGATAAAATGTGCCTTTCAAAAGCACCAATTAACCCACAATTTTTAGCAAATATTTCCACAATTTTCTAATGGGCCTAGCGATAGGGAACGAAGAGTGTGTGAATCTTAGAGAAGAGGCAGCAGACAAGGAGTCTGCTTCACCTTTTACAACAAAAGAGTCTGCAGTTTCTTTATCTGAATTTAGACACCGCTTTATCATTTTTTTTGATGCTGCCAGTAACTCATACGAGAGGCGAATGCTCATTTTAAAAACTGCTGCGAATCAAACATTGACTCAGGTCAACTATGGATCGAGCAAGA